AAAAAAAAAAAAAAAAAAAAAGAAAAAAAAAGAGAGATTTGGATCATTACAATAATTCGAAGCGGTTGGTATTGTCACCTGTGACCCACCATTAACGTGTCTCAATCACGTTTTTATCTTCAACACCAAACATAATTTGTTTGTTACCAACTTATATATAGCCCTCCCTTTATTTTCTTTTGTTATTTTTTCCATTATTATTTTTAATTTTTATCTCTCTTTACTTGTTTTTGTTCCTGACAAAACAAAATTACCATTCAATTCAATTCATATGCAACAAAAATGGCCATGCCGAGAACTAGGTCGGGCCGAACGACGTCGCTCCGTGATTCGGATATGCGGCTGTCCGAGTCGGACAGAATTGAGGGGGCCGGTAGCTGGGACGCCATTGAGTGGACCAAAGTTGATGTAGGTGAATTTTGAGCTAGGGTTTAATTCTAATCATTTTGTTGGTTTTGCCGTTAGTGGGTTTTAGGAAAAATTGTCTTTAATCGGAGCTACTGATTTTGTTTCCTTATTTTTTGTTTGGTATTCTTGATTGCAGCCGGTTTCAAGGTCTGTGCCCCTGGGTTTGCAGCAGTTCTTGCTTGAAGGGGAGCGAGTTATAGTAGAGGTAACTCTGAAATTTTGAATTGAATGATCACTTTCTGGTGGATTCTTTCCTGAGGAAGTGTTGGAGAGTGAATCTGTAATGTGCCCAATCATTTCTACCATCTTGATCTTCAAATTTCAAAGTTATATGTGAATGTACAATGTGATTCCGTGTGGAAGGAGAAGTGCGGTAGGGCAGTGGAGGGAAGTTGTTTAAAATTTACTGCACATATGTTCAACCTCCGAAAGATTAAAGGTTTAAAATGTTAGTATATGTTTGGCTCAGGTGAATTGGAAAAAAATTTGAACCTGAATCCTGTAAACCTTTACACCTCCTATTGGAGCTCACTGATTAGACATTAATTTCTGTACGGTCATATTCGTGATATCTGATTGTAGCCAAAGATGGAGATATCACGTTTCCTATGAGGTTTAGTGTTTATAGTTTGATGTTAATTATAAATACTACAGTTTGGAAGTGCATTTTGTACCCATAGGATAAGAACTACAGTTCAGAAGTGCTTGTGAAAATTTACTTTAATGTTCTAATTTGCATGATCTCTTTCTGCATTCTACATCTTGCTATATATATATATCTTGTTCTTGAATATTAACTCAATTCTTAAATTAGAAGCGCTACAAAAAGAGATAAGGATTGATGGTCATTGCAATGCAGCTCCATTTTAAATAAACAGAATTTCCTGACAGATAGGAAACCTTGACATTTGATTTTGATTCTAAAAATTAATTAATGATTTAAGCTAAAATATGTTTTGCTGCATATGTGACAGTTGAGCTAGCTTTTACAGCAAAGTTGAGGCTTACCTATACTGTGGTTTGCAACTGTGTCATTTAGTTAGTCATGCATTAGTTTTATATTATTTGTACCAATATTATTCCTAGAACTTTGCAATTTCTAACTTTTGATTGAGGAAAAAATTGGAATATAAACATGTATAATGTGTACCCATGCATGCACGATTGCACACGGCTCATTTTGGTGTTTTTCAAATCTCATCTACTGGTTCTCTTCATGTCGCTTGCCTCATATTATTGTGTTTCTAATGACGAGTATTTTATTAGAAATTCATAGCTCTATTTTCTGAGTAGATTGTAAGAACTTTTAAACATGGAAATACATGATAAAATGATATTTCACCATTTAACATCCTACCCCTTCGACAAATATCGCCCTTTATGGTTATATGATGTGGTTCTTTTTCCAAAATTTCATGTGTGAAAATTCAAATTGATAGCTCTTGGTGCACTTTCAATTTAGGTGGTAGTTGTAATTAGATTGCGTAAACGTTCAAGCAAATATAATTGATAGAGGTTGATAAATTAATTAAAATGGATCGTAATGATATATTATGGTTAGATATTGTTTTAAAAGTCATAACACCCATGTAATACACGTGTGTTAATTGAGAAATTTATACATAAAAAGGTTTTAAAAAATAAAAATAAAAGTTTTTATTCTAAATTAATATTTCTTAGAAATGGCATTATTATTATTCAAAGTGACACCTGTATATTACATGGGACCACGATAGTATTTAATAGTGTTATCAAATTGCGGACATGGCGTGGCAGATTTCTGTCAAACCGCCATGCTATATTTGTGAAGGACGGCAATTATGGCGGCTCCATAGTCCGCCACTGCGGGCGCTATGGTGGGATTTTGGCCATTTTCCTCCATCTGCCATTAATGACACTGATATGTATCCGCATTAGCTTAATATTCGTGTATACATGAGATTTGTCAGCTCATATTTTTAATATTGGCTCAACATTCGTATTGGAATGTTTGGTGCGGCTTCATCTTGTTATTGGTTCACTTTTCTACCTTCAGATTTTTCCTTAGAAACTTTTTGTGTATTGTAGCATGCGATATTTTTTTTTGGCATTTGAAGTAAATGTCTATTTTCTCTGATTACAGTGCTGTGAAGATTTCGAGAAATAAGGTTTTTTTCTGCAGTTACATCTGGAAGCTGGATGTTTGGATTAATTAGGTTTATGATTTACTTCCAGGGTTACGGGGTTGTGCTTGTTAATACTGATGAGGCAGGAACATTATTTGTTACGAACTTTCGTCTTCTTTTTCTGGTAAGACATTTAATATCCTCTTATACTGCTTATTTGATGAACATTTTGTCCACACACAAACAAAGCCTTGTGTGCCAAGGGGAGAGTTAAGCCTAATAATACATCCCATGCTGGAAGCATCAGACTAACAAAGATGATAACAATGACCTTCTCCACTTAATGCATTGAAATGAGTATTTAACTTGCTAGAGTATTATTATAACACGATTTTAGCCTTGTACCTCTGAATCCTGGTATATATACTAAGAGGACTGCGTGCAACAATTAGTTTTCTATGCTTTGCGCTGGCATTTTTATGTTCTTCAAATCTTATCCGTTGTCTTGAAAGTTGAAATATCTGCGACTTATACTTTTAACCATAACTATTGTGAAATTTTATATTGCAAACAGAAGATAGTAATATTAAAAATTTCCTTGACTAGAGCGATGGATCTAGAAGCATTATAGGACTTGGCACTATACCGTTGGCAACAATCGAGAAGTTCAGCAAAAGTGTAAGCTTCTTTCTTTCTTTTCTACTTTTTTATTTTTTTATCCCTTACTTTTGTGATGCGGAACTACTTATCCGTTACTTGTGTTATTCTTCTTCTGTTTATACTCATTATGGTGCTGTACCTATCTTTCGTTCTAGTTGTTGTTGATTAGTGCTTAAAATTTGGGATTGGACAGATTTCATCCCTCAAATGCTGTTGTTTTTTTTCCCTCTGCTATTTCTTTGCATCACCCTTTGTAATAGTTTAGTACCGATCATAGGGTTATCAATGGCTTTAGTATGGAGAAATTTATTTACTAAAAGCAGTGTTATTAATGGCGGATGTCGGTTGCCAAAAATCTGCAAGAGCGGCTTTTGTGGCGGCCTACGGCGCCGCCATAACCGCCATCCTTCACAAATTTAACATGGCGGATTGTAAAAAATCTGCCACGCCATACCGCCATTTTTATTGGACCCTGGATATCTTCTTTCATTTCTCTGAGAAGACATATAAGAAACTCATAGAACTCTGTGCATTCTGCAATTTAGGAAATTAACTGTTGATGCAATGAAACTTTTGCTATGGAAAAGTTGTCCTGGATTATGTGATCATTGTGTTGAACACGTATCTCCTATTATTACTTACGATTATGGATCCTGCACTTT